AAAAAAACGAATAGGTTGTCTTTTCATTTATAAGCCCTAACATATGTAGACTTCTAGAGATAATGGACAGTAAGTATATGAACATGTTTTTAGGTATTTCCTAAATCTGTAGGCACTGAAAGCCAACATGTTCACATCAAGCAAAAAATGAAAATGTGAGAAGAGTTACAAGTGACCCTAAGTCATTGCATATGTGTCTCTATCAGCTATACTCTTTTTATAGATAATACATGCAATATGCCACACTGTAGACATAAGGCAAGAACTTATGTATTAGGCCCTGGGATATGTGCTACATGTATTATCATATTTAATAATCACAACTATACTATTACGTAACTGTTATTTCTATTTTAAAGATTTTTAAAAATGAGCTTAAAAAAAACTGTCCCAAATTACACAGTGAGGTCATGGAGGTCATGGCAGAGTACAGGTCAAATTCCAGAATCCATTGTCAACTACCATGCAGTATATGACCCAGGGCAAGTCTTCTATTCTTCTACCTTTGTTAAGTTGGGCTAATGAGAGGCTATGGCAACAATTAGATAATTTATATAAAATATTTAACACAATAGCTTACACATAATAAACACCCAATAATCTGTACTCTCATTGCTGTATATTATGACAGGGTTAAAAGGTCAATTAAGACATGCTTTTTGCTCTCAAAAAAATCTGTATAGTAGGGTGTGGTGGGTAGACTTCTTAAATGGCACCCTAATGGCTCTAATTCAATGGCTTCTTGCCCATGAATATGATGAGCTATCACACCCCTGGTAATATGCATGTAAAACAGATTTTCCTAGGTTCCTAATCAGTTGACCTTGAATTGACCAAAAGGGAGACTATCCTGGTGGGCATTCCTCAGCTAATCACATGAGCCCTTAAAAAGCAAAGCATTTCTTCTAACTGGTGGCAGATGGAAAAGTCAGAGACTTGAAGCATGAAGAGGACTTGATGCACTGTTGCTGACTTTAAAGATTGAAGGGCCACTTGCTAGGACCAGAGAGTGGTCTCCAGGAGCTAAGAGTGATCCCTAAACACCAGCTCATCCTATAAGCATAGGACCTGAACATGAAGCACCTAAGTAGGGTGTGGCAGGTTAGAGCTGGGTTGTACCAGTTTTAAACTTTTACATTACTATTATTGATTTTGATTGAAAATACCTGGATTGAAAAGTCAAGCAGCATGGTAATGTGTATGAATATGTATGTGTGTATGTAATAATTACAGTTTAATATTATATGTGTATACACACACACAATATGTATATGTTTTAATATTTGAGGTAAGTAGATAATTTCTCTTAATACTTCTTCTCCCCCTTAACATAAAATTATAATATCACCACAGCTAATTAACTTCAAGTATGTTAAGATGGCTAAGTTAAACAAAAAAAGTATTCATTCACACATACACAAAATATTTTTTCTTTTGAGTAGGTAAAATTTTAATACAAGATACAGAAAGTGTCTATTTTCACCAAAACTATTCATTCTGATATCTTGAAACATGCATATCATAATTATGTATATACAAGATCTTTCCAGTATACCTCTTCTTTAGTAGCTACATTACAAGATTACTATATCTGTGAAAAGCAAACATCTGCAATTTAAAAACACAATTTTTAATAAGAGCTGGTGTAATTTTTCCTAATTAGCAACACGCTAGAATTGGCATTTTCTTGTATACTCAGATAAAGAAAAAATGTTTGTTAATATTTCTGTATTAATTTTTTCTTCTGTTAATTGAACCTAAAGCTACTTTATTTTTTAAGCACATCAACTAGTAGGCCTCTCCTTAGGAAAAAAGATAATCTTTCCTAAAAATGAAAAAAAAACCACAAAAAAACAAAAAAAAATTAAATATTTCTGACCACACTACAGATTTAGAAATAAAACAGAAAAAGTATATAGTTGAGCCAAAATTGCTCATTTCTTTCCCCCTCCCTTGAGGTGCTCCATGGAAATAAGCTACCTAAAAGTAAGGTTACATCAAGGGATTTTTTTAAAGAGTACACTTTAAGAAGGGTTATATGCAAACATTTACATCATATTAATTATACCAGGGCTATCAGAATATTGGACTTATAATTATTAGAACCAGCTACTTGATAAGTCTTTCACTGATTAAACTGATTCCCCTACACTGTCTACTACTGTCAGTATAGGCCAGAGGTAGGATCTAAGGAAAAAAGGTAGAAAATCATGAGTCAAGTGTTGTTTTTTTTTTGAGTTGGAGTCTCACTCCATTGCCTATGGTGGAGTACAGTGGCACACTCACAGCCACCCCAGCGACGATGTGCTGGGCTCCGGCGATCCTTCCGCCTCAGCCTTCCAAGTAGCCGGAACTACAGGCACGCACTACCATGCCCGGCTAATTTTTGCTTTATTGTAGAGATGAGGTCTTGCCAAGTTGCCCGGGCTGGTCTCGAACCCTCAGGCTCAGGCAGAATCAGCTCTTTTAATAAACAGAAGTATTAACACATGTCTTGGATTCCCACATTTTTAAGACCCTGACTCAAAAGAAAAAAACATGTCCATGATATACTTTTTAATCCAGAAATTTGACGCATATTTAATTAAAAAATAAAAATTATAACAAAGGCAATTATGCAAGTATATAAGAAAATAACACACCCTAATATATTTTCAAATGAAAGCTTGTCTTTTAAACATTCCAAGATAACATCTTTCTCAGGGTTAACTAAGAAATGCATGATCTAGAATAGACAGCTTTCATGTAACTATTATTAGTAATGACACAGTCATACATAAACATGTAACTATTTAAGAATAGTAATGCCTTGAAATGTAAAGGCAAAATGTTCAATTCTATCTACATTATAGTTTAAGACAAAGAGAAGAGTGAAGATAACTAACAGAATATAAATGGTTATCAGTTAAAGTTTAATTACTATTCAATCATTCACTTTCTAAAAATACAATGAGTTTTGATAAATTTGGACCACAGGGACGAATCTTTTTCCCCGCAAAAACATTTTTCTTCTTGCTCATGGTGCAGCATTCTATCTATCTAGTATGACTGTATTTCATTCACGGTAACACAGGTGATTACATTCAAATGGCATTTAACATAAATTGTACCAAACTGCCCTATAATTTCATTTTAGACTGAATTAATTAACTTCTCAGTAGGCAGCTAAGGTTCTGAACATAAGCCTAAAGAAATACTTGAATGCTTAACCTACCTTACATGAGTTGTTTCTAATGTAAGAAAGCTTCCATTTTTAATAAATAGTACAAAGTATAATGCATTTGGTAGGATCCTAAAGGGTAAAGATAAGGCATTTATAATAAATGGATTTAGTTTTCCACATATATTCACATTCATTTAAAAAAAGTCAGGGGGCACTGCTGACAGTTAAGGAGGATTTAACAAAACTCAGCAAGAGTTGGCATGCCTGATATTTTTGAAAGACTATTTACCTTAGAAGCTGTGAATTTATAGTAAAAAAAATGCCTTCTTTGTCCTTGGAAGATATTACAATAAAAAACTTGCGACTTTATAGCAATTAGAAATAATACTATCTTAATGCTGTATAAGTAATTTATATTCCAGAGCTTGAAATGTAAATGTAATTGTCTAAGACATTATCTTCAACTCATCAGAATTATCATAATATCATAAAATATCTATTCTTTCTATTATGTTTCTCCAATTATAACATTATTATCAAGATCTGCCAGCTAACTCTTTGTTTCAAGTTTATAGTCTTCATATATCAAGAAACAAATTAAAAGGGCAAACAAGGAATGTGAACGCCAACTCATAAAAAGCTGAAACCTCTTTTATTATTACATGGCATATTTCTGTCATAAACTTCTGGTTTAGGAAATTAGAAAACAAATACTTCTTTTGACAAACTCCTTGATATAGTACTTAACTCAATATTTAGTTTTTTCTTTCTTTAATTGTAAAGGAAGGAAGGAGCGAGAGAAAGAGAGAGGCGGGGGAAAGAGAAAGAAACAAAGAAGGGAGAAAAGAGAAAAGGTAGAAACAAAAAGCCAGCTTTATATTTTAACTACCCTTTTTGGGGGAGTAACTTAAATTTTCAGGAGCATGATAACCAAAGGAAGCACAGTTAAAGACTCCTGGCCCACTTCAAGGGCTTTTTAACATCCGGTAAGAAGGCTTCCAGAGACAGATTGAGTAATCTGGAGGGGGTGGTCCTTGGTCAGGCTTCCCCTAAATGTCTCTAGGAAGAAGGGCATCAGATCTGTTTCAAAGTTCCACTAGGTAATTTCTGTATGAATAATTTTTTTCCTGTATATTTTAAATCCTCCCTGCTATAATCTGCATGAGGAGAAATGACAAAAATATAATTTAGAAGTTTTAATACTAGTTTGTAATAAAGGAAGAAATCAGCTAGGGAAAAAAAAAAAGGTTTAGATGTCAGTTTCAGAAACAATATTGCCTGCAGCATCTTTTAGCTCAATAATTTAGTGGCAATGACAGTCACAAATGCTGTCAAAAACAGCAGTGAGGTTTTAAAAAATAAACAAATTCAAACAGTAATATCCTTCAGATTTTTAATATGCCATTTGCTGAAATGGCAATCACAACAGAAATTTATGAGATCTAGTTAGGAAAAATAAATTAATCTACTTCTCTAGGTTCCCATACATGTGATTATTTCTAAATTTCCCACAGTCAAGAGTATAGCATTTTCTTCTCACCAAATACTACGTCTGCCCTGGTGTCGTCAGTCACAAGAGACCTTTTGTATCAATACTCCCTCAAGTTCCAATTCTTACTAGAAGTCCTGGGCAAACATAAAAGTGACCTGGCAATTACATCATTCTCTATAAATGAAAAAGACTGCTATCTAAAAATAATGAAAGGCTCCATTTAATTTTTTTTCCTTTTGTTTTTTGGTCAAGAGTTCATTTTAATTTGTAATAACGCAGTTCTGATCCAAATAGAGTTCTTACTAGCTTTAAAAAGAGCTCTAGAGATTATACACAAGGCAGTAATTTAATTTTTAAATTTTTATATTTCTTGCAATGACATTTAGGGTTCAGTGTGAGAGTTGAGATTTTTAGTGCTGCTGCTGACACCTTATGGATACTGTTTTATTTGGAAATTCTGATTAGATTTTCAAATCCATTCTGCTCTTGTTTACAAAAAGCATTATCCTAAAAAACAGATTTTTTTTGTTCCTTTAAGGTATTCTTCCTCTTGCTATTTATTCCTTACTTGACTTTATAATCCTGTTTGGGTCACTATGATTAGTTGCTATGGAAATTACCTCCTATGGAAATGATTCCAATGTCATTACTGTAAGAATATGACTTTTAATGAATAATATCATAGCAGACATCTACCTTTACTAGAAAAAAAAATCTAATTAAGATTTTAAAAAGGGACTAATTCTGAAAATTATTACCATGGCCAACTTTTCTGATATTTTTGAATCTCCCATCTGCTTTTTAAATAAGTATTAAATGAATTTAAAGGTGTTAATCAGCTACTCACTTCCCCAAATTGCAAAGTCACAATGGAAATTAGCACCACACACAGAAAAGTGGATGTAAAGAACATTTTATCTCCATTTCTCTAAACTAATAAGTGCTATGCTTCATTTATAAAAGTGAATGTCAACAGGATTTCAGGGCTCATCAGGAAACAACTTTGAATAGCACATTACAAATTCCCTTTAAAGATGAAGAATTTAATATTCCAAAATTTATCCCAGGAATTTAAAAGGTCAAGCCTATAAACTGGTGAGTTAAACAATAGATGAGAGCCAGTGAACCATTAGATGAGAATTCCAGAATCCTAAGAAGAAAATATTCTTGGGTGGATTCTATAATTTGTGGCTTGAATAAAACCTTTGTAACATTCCATTAGTATTAAAGTTCTCACAATAAGAATATGGCTCATATTTAACACATTTTCAATTGCTAGACAGTCTCTCCCCAGAAGAAATTTTAATGCTTTCTTCTGCCTAGTACTTATTCACTGCCTGGTACTAATTTAGGAATAAATTAACCCTTCCAACAATTAGGATATTGTCTAGAAACTGCCTCTTGTACTCTGCTGGAGAAATCACTTATATTCTGAAAATCGAAGTAAAAGAGAAGTCCATTTCTTCACTATAAAATGTTTCTCTATACCTAATAGCTTATTAATTATTGATGTAAATCACAATCATATCTACCTATATATTATAATTACACATTACCATATTTATAATGGCTCTGAACTAAGCCTCACAGTTATAGATTTTACTAAATGTTTTATACATTAAGGGTTTTCTATACTTGTGCCTGCAACCATGATCGAGGGTCCAGAATGTCTCTGATGGATTTCTGCCTTGGAGCTGGCACTGGCTTGGATTCAAAACTGGTTTTAGTGTCTGTATGCTCACCTTCGGTTATACTACTTTTCCTGGCAGGAAGAAGTTTTCCAGGAGTAGCCATTGGTTTCTGTAAGTGCTGCATTAGAGTTGATAGTTTGGCATCCGGATGTGAGGTCTGAGATATGCTTGCTTTTCCCCAGTTGTCCTTAACCAACTGATCTGTGTTGCTCTGTGTTCTTAAGCTGAATGGAGCTTTATCAGAAGGAGGAAGGGGAGCATGTCTCTTTTTCCCTTTCCCATCATGTAACTGCTCTCTAGGAGACAGCACCTTTTTCTGAATGATCATATGATGGTTACCATCAAAGAGCGTGGCCCAAGGAGGTGGTAAGGATTCTTCATGCTGACCAATAAGGAACTGTCGGTTTGTCTGTTCAATTTTTTTTTGTATTATATCTGTTAAACTTTCAAGTTTCATAGGTGAATCGATGCCTATAATAATTTTAAGAAAAAAATACATGAAAAAGATTCAAAAGCAGCTGCTTGAAAAATAGATTATTTTTCCAAACTAATATGCTATGTATAATGGTCATCAAAGACTAGAATAAGCAATAAAATATTTACTTGTAAAAATAATCACACCAACAGAACCAAAAAATGAGATCATGAGCTGTACACACACATGTGCACACACACAATATATAGCATTTATAAAAAACATATCATATATATAAAAATATAGTTTACATAAAATACACATGTATAAACATATTTCTAAATAGTTAGCAAAATCTAGCTTTTAAAGAGTTATATGAAAATATTTTAAAATTCTATAGATTATTAATGAAACAACATTTTCTTGGATTTAAAACCTTATTCTGACTTCTAGGTATGAGTGGATTTCCTTTTTGCAAAAGCTTGATATATGCTGGGATGACTATAACTGAGTAAGTATTCTTTTCTGTACACCAGCAAAGTCTCTGCTACAAGGGAAAATAAACCCCAAACCAAAAACCCAGGGAAAGAGAGCAAAGCCTTAATACCACTTTGGTGATAAGGCTGCTGGATGAAATATTTCTTGGGGAAAATAAGAGAAGAGAGATAAATGTCTATTAAATGAGTTACTGGTATTTTAAAATGTTTAAACACAAATGCATCTGATTTAACCTAGCATTTACAAGTGTTTGCAAGTGCAGGTGACAAAATTGACTAGAATTTAGTATCGACTTGCACTTGTTCACAATGCTTTAACTGAAGCAATTCTCCAAAAGAATAAGCATCCTTCAAAGTGTGGGGAAGGGAATATTAATGAGTCTAGAAATTTAAAAATTTTCAAGGTATGAAACTTGACCATTTTTTTTTTTTTGGCCAAAGACCAAAGCCTCTATTTATAAATATTCACCTATCAACACTACTTAAAAGCAAATTTAATAAAGTACAGAAAATATTACTGAATATCATCACATTTTTGAATCTAGAAGTTTATATTTTCAGAATTTTCATCAGTTACCCAGCTAGTATTTATTTTCAGTGCACTTGTATTCATTTTAAACCTTAACATTTTTGTCTGATCTTGAGCATTCAAACTATAAAAAAGTATATTCATTAATTTTGTATTATCTATTAAACATGAGTTCCTTAGTCTATAATCAGAGTTCTTTTTCATTCATTTTGATTGTGTCCTGAAAATTTTAGCATTTTAATGTCAATAGAATAAGCTGCTTGAGTATGGACAATGTTGTTTTTGTTATCCTGCAGCTTAGAAAAGACAAACGCCACTTACTCATATCATGGTAGACTGAGGTCGCCTCTTTTGTCAAGAACAAAGGTGGTTTCCGTGGTGACATAATCTCAATTTTCATAAGTTCTTCACAACAATGCTTCCATTGGCCTAAGAAAGACAGAAAAAAGATAGCCTAGTTTAAAGCATAAATGTGAAGATATATATTTCATTTTCAATAGATATCAACAAATTTTTTTGCTTTGAAAAATAACAGTGAATTTATAAATAAAGCATTGCCTTAAGGGAGCTTGCACAAAATCCCAGTACTACTCACAATTTCAAAGTCTGGTTCTAAACATAAAAGTAATCTTTTTAAAACTAAAGTTCTATGCACAGATATGAGGCTAAGATCTCTTGGCTATTGACTATTACATTATTTTACTAAATGGTCAATAACTACCTTAAAATTTCTATTCACAGCAAAAGTTTGTGCAGGTCCTCTTCTTTGATAGATTACATTAAAACATATTCAAGGCAGGAAAAAAATGGAAGGAGTAGTGGTTCTCAAAAGTGGTTTTAACTATGAAAATTTTAATTAAGAATTGGTTATTTAACAACTGTGTCTTTAAGATGACTATCATGCTTTTCAGAATTATTTAATTCTAGAAAAATACCATTTTCATTTAAGTAAAAGGTATATAAAAACCTATTATGATAAAAACATACTCTCATATCACATAAAATTCTAACTGAGCATAATTTATTTTAGGAAGGACACGTTATTTATTTATTCAGTTAACTTCCTCACTTAATTATTTATTGGAGGGCATTTTATTGGAAGCACACTTTAAATAAAGCCACTAGGCATTTAGAATAAGAAAAAATATATTTCAATAAATTGTTTCAACTATTAAGTTAAATTTTCAAATTACAGACAATATTAATTTTTCCTTTAATTATGTTTCACACTATTTTCATTTTAAGATAACATTTTCAGATGTATTTTTCCTGAGTAAATTATAAAAAAATCGAATCTTTCTATATTTATTTGTGTACTTGCATACGGATAGCAACTATGCTAATTACTATGTGTCTATATATCAATTTTATTTTAAAAAGTTATTGTGGTTCACCATTCTTACATCCTGTCTTACACCAACAGAAAGTAAATATAGTATATCTATGTGCTTCTTTAGATTGATTTATGATTTATATATTTTTTCCTTTTATTATGTTCTCAGAATCCATAGTCAATATTCAACTTGGGTATTTTCCATATTTTAAAAATTAAAGATATTTCATGTTTGGTCAAATTATTCATTTTTGTTGTTTCTAGTCAAATATACTATCGTGGTAACATGGCAATATATGCATAAGTTTTAAAGTCATGACCTTAAGTAGTTAAACATAAAAAAGCCTTTTAGTATGTTTTATTATAATGCTAACTACAGAATATGGTAAGAATTTCAAAATAAGCCACACTGCAACTCATAAAGGGAATAAATTCCTGAGTTCAAGGCTTCAAAGGTTGCTCTTTAGAATTTGCATCTAGTAGGATCTGGGATCTGATAACTTATTCCTCCTTTCAACTTCCTTTTTTAGATAAACATATAAAAGCCAGTTTTTTCTTCTTGGGGCAGAAGAAAAAAAAAAGCCCTTATCTAATGGAAAAATAATGACACATTTTAAACGGGCAAATATCTCTCTGTCACATTCTTAGACAAATTATTATAAAGTACAGTATTTTCTCTGTATAGCTAGATGAAAGCATTTTATTGTTAAACTAATAGCAGAATACCAATCATTGAAAATTGGAATATAATGCCACGTTATTCCAAATGTTGAAGTCAGAGGTACAAACGTGTTCACTGGTCAAGACTTGACAATTCAAACATTGATTCTGCCAGTGAATAAATTTGTATGCATAGTTATACATGCTAGACAATATGCTAACATGACAACAAAAGCCCAATATGAGATATTAAATGTGTATGTTTTGTTTACCAATCTATATATTAAAGATGTTTTTCACAATACTATTTGTTGTTATAATGTTCCCAGTCAAAATAATTTGTTTGGCTAATGTAACTCAATATTTGTACCTCAATATTTATATTATTAAATATTTGAAAAAAAAATTAATGTTCCAAGTCTATTTTCACTTCCTATTTGACCACCATTCCTTGCTCCACCCCTACTGACCTTCCAGAACAAGTGTCATTGCTCTTTTACAAGTTTGTTAACTCACAAATACTAAAAATAGCTATTACATCCCGCTTCTCCCAGGCTCCACCCCTAGGCTATTTTTCTCCAGGCTAATCAGACCTACTTCCATCAATGTTTCCCCATGAATTCCAATTATCTCACCCTCCTGGTTTTCTACTCTCAAGTGGGGCCCAAAATTGAAATTTGCTCCAAATATTAAATTATCATTATTTTATCCTGGATATCTATCCTCTACTTTGTTCGACACATCATACTTCAATCAGGATCATAAAAGGCTATGATCTATTACTAGGAAAGTAAAAATTTTAAAGCACAAGTCAATTTTTATGATAGTATAAACACTTTCATCTTTGCTTCACATCTTCATACACAATGAATTCTGAAGTATAAATGTACTTAATTTGTACTTTGTTCTGAAGTATGAATGTACTTAATTTGTACTTTTTAAAATTGTACTTAAAAAATTACATAGGTTGGCAGTTTTTATGCAAAAAATGCACTGAATACCAAAGAAGTAATCAGACCTGAGAACCTAGTTGTCATCACTTTCTTATTACTTTGACAGTACAAAAATGTCATGAGACTCTTATCCCTCTAACTCCCCACTTTTAGCATGATAAATTATTTCACATAATCTAGAGCATGAAAACATGAGACAATCATCTAATAGTAGTTGATATCTAGACCACAATATTGTAGCATTATTACTTTCATTTACCCTTCTTGTTTTTATATACATAAAAATTTAAAATACCAGAATTATTTCTAAAAATAATATGGTCTTTTGTAAGAAAGACTCTCTAAGTCAGAGCATTTAGGAAAGCCGTTAAAATTTTAGCTATGATAAACAAGAGAGAGGAAGTTGTTGTCTTCAGGTTGCACACCTTAAGATCTGTTGAAATTTTTAATGACATAAATGTAGTACATGTTGATAAGCATGGAACAAATATTTAAACATTTATTTAGTGCCTACAGATGGTACTTAAGGAAAACAAGTCCTAAATAATCCAAGAACATCAGGGAGGGAGACCTCTAGTTCAGTGCTGTGAACCAGAAACATCTTCAGGTCTAAGTGTTCTCATCTTTAGAGCAGAAGGAAATAACTTCCACCTCACATGGAGTGTTATGAGAAATAAATGAAGTCATCTGGTATATGGGAAACAATAAACTTGGTTTTCTTTCTTGCCTCCTCCCCAACCATCACTATAATACTTGATAAGGCCATGAATCATAGTAGGCCTGTAAACATTACATGAGGACTGCAGACATTAACTCTTCATAGTATTTTAGGAAACAGAAGTCCTAAAATGTCTCTAGGATTATTTCCATGACTTGAAGAAAAAACTTTCCATGGCTCTACTTTCTGTAGAATAGCATATAGACATAAAACACTGGTTGAATCTAATAGTAAGCTTAGTTTGATCAGAAATAGGCATCATCAACATTCTACATTTTTGATAAAAAATTGTAGACAATATGCTGTTAAATTTATTGTCAGTATAGACAAATAGCTGCTACAATTTCAATGTTTTCTTGTTGATGAAAATTCCTCCTTAAATTGTCAATTAAATATTAGAACTTCATAATTTTACACACTAGAATCCTATTACATTGTTTTTATAACCCATGTCATTGGACTGCATTATTGAGTTGAAAAAACAGTATGTGTGTGGTTTGGAAAAAAAAAAAAAACTCTCTGGATGATGTCCAAGAAGATATTATCACAAATCTGGAGCTAGCAGAAGGTTATATAACAATAAGACTCTTTCTGAACATTTCAGTATTTTAGGATCATCATTATCCTGGAAAAGTTTCTTGCTCCTCAAATGGCTTCTTGTCTCTTGGATCAAACACATTGCCTTAAGCAGTTAAAATCTAATATTTTGAGAGAATGCAGTCTGGTTGTTTTAGTGACCAAAGGAGCTTTAAAAAGTGTGAAGTAGGGATGCTAGGAATTCAAAAGTACATTATACAATAGTCAGTCAAGCACTGGAAAGAGCGTAAGAGAAAAAAAGCATCAGTGCATTGATGATATACTACCATTTTTTTCAGAAGCTTAAAAAATTCTTCCTATAAACCGTAAGATTATAATTTTAATATTTAGATTGCTGTGTGCATGCCTTCAGGCTACATGAAAACCCAAAGATCTACTTACTGAGATCATAGAAATGTTGCCAGAAGGCTTCCATCCACTTCTGAAGATCTTCTTGATGGTCAACTGCAAAAATCTGAGTTACAGCTTGTCCAGCAACAGGATTGATGACAGAGAAATTACGGATTTTTTTCTTGGCATCCTTATCCATTGCCCTAATTCTGGTTTCCTAAAAATTGAGACAAAATTGGTATTTTTACAAGAGAAATTTTCTGTAATGATTGAACAAATGTTTTATTGCTTAGCTACCATATTTACACCAGATGTAATTATAATCTTACTGCTAATCATCTGAAATTTAAAATATGTAATTTGGGGAATTTTCAATATTCAAATTCAAATCTTCAAAGTTTTTAAAAAGAATGCTTTATATTAAGAAAACTCAATAATGTTTTAAGTATGCTACATATAGCACTTATACTAAATTATATGAGATTAAAACATAACCTCTTTTTAATCTATCTCAGTTTAAGTGGGAGTTTTGCTGTCTTTTATATACATCTTAAAATTTGCAATAAAGCAAGTACAGCATGTCATAACTGTAATGTAGATTATATCTTAAATATATTTCCAACAGTAATAAAATAGAAGAATCAGTAAAGTATGCTTCTTATTCTCATATTCATGGATAATATCTAGTGTTATCAGCAATAGCAGTAAAACTATAACTAAGAGTTTACTGCAGCAAAACAGTTAGGCTTTCCTCACTAACATATATTTGATATGTAATATTCATTTACAAATCTCATAGAGAAAGATCCAAAAAGTAATATAATCCTTATAATGTTGAATTTTTAAAAAATGCTGAATAAACCATTCTACAACAAAAAACAATGGTTGCATTCATGTTGAGAATTTAAACATTTTTTCTAAGTGGTACTAGGTATGAGACTGTGATGACACGTATTGGATCTATATGTAGGAGATTCTGAGAAGTCGATTCCCAAGTCACACACAGGCATAGCCATGCCACATGGCAAGCTAGCAACTACATGTAGTTTAGACCAAAGAATCTTGGAGAATAAAGTCTAGACTAGAATATCTATCATACAAAGATAGGGATTTGGCCGCCTGCATAATGATTAGCTTTACACTACTTTAGGGAAGCACTGATCAGGTACAATGTGTACCACAGGGGTAATTTAAAAATTTATAAAAACCACACTAAGAAAAAGAAATTGGCAAAATTAACTTTAATAATGTATTTTTTGTAGCCCAATATATCCCAAATATTATCATTTTGATATGTAATTGGTGCAAAACATTTTTGAGGTATTTCATATTATTTTTTCATACTAAGCCTTCGAAATCCAATCTGTATTTTATACTAACAGCACATCTCAATTCCAGCCAGCCACATTTTAAGTGCATAACAGTCACTGGCGACTAGTGGCTACTGTATTGTACAGAGTGGTTCTATAGAAACATGGTTAAGCTTACAGTAATGTGTGCAAAAGAATATTTTGGCTGGTAGACACAAAAGCTGATTAAGAGAAGAAAGAAATTCTTCACTTCACTGAGTACGGGGGGAAGAAAGACTGTACGGTTACACACCAAAACCTACCTACACACTGTGACTATTGTGTGGGTATTAGAGAAGTAGCAGAGAGTTAGGAAGAAAAACTATCTGTTCCCTGAAAAATGGAAAAACATAGGCAGGTGAACACCATATATACTATACAAGAAGTTCTTTTCTAAAGAAATTCTTTTTTTTTTTAAGTAGGAGCCTCACTGTGTCGCCCAGGCTGGAGTGCAGTGGTGAGCTCACAGCCACCACAGCCTTGACCTACTGGGCTCAAGCGATCCTTCCACTTCAGCCATCTAAGTAGCTGGAAACACAGGCCTGAATCACCATGTCCAGCTAATTTTTTTAAAAAATTATTCATTTTGGAGACAAGGTCTCACCAGGTTGCCCAGGCTGGTCTCAAACCTTGGGCTCAGGCAATCCTCTTGCCTCGGCCTCCCAAAATGCTGGGATTTATAGGCATGAGCCACAAAGCCGGGTCAGGAATAAATTCTTATTTAAAAAATCACAGAAAAAAAATGTATGCTGTATCAAGTAGCAACTTAACTTTGAACCTTTAGAGTATCACAAAATATAAGCACTGATAATCTTCTTAAAAACAGTTTATCCTGTTACTGTAGAAATCTAGGAATGTGAGTGCCTTTAGGGGTTTATAATGGGACTTTTGCCCAACATCTTAATTTTATCATAATAAGGTCTTTTTACACTCATATGCCTTGGTAGTAAACTTCGTAAATTAATTTATAAGTAACAAATCATTATTTTTATAATATAAAAAATGCTGCCCTAAATGACATCCTTGGAGCTGAAAGATGCATCTAATCAACCTCTTTAGAAGAGTTTATATTACTAGCAGAGAATGTCTTAAGCTCTAGGAAGAATCTTTGAAATGCTACTCTATCAGAATAATGAAGGTTAAATAATAGTGGGGGGAACAATCCTCTACTGTTTTTCGTATTAAAAAATAAAATAAGGAATATTCTTATTACTGAAATAGTGTTTTCCTCCACCCAATTCCATTTTGATACAAATTTCTGACTAATTTTTGTATATAGGATTAAAATAGATTCAATTTTCAAATAAGAAAAATGTGACTTTTATAGATGAATATACATATTTTTACCAAAGTATCATTTCAAATAAAATCACTATATAGAAAATAAATAAACTGATCAACTGAACCACTTATATACTTCTAAGAGAATATAATGTAACAATATATAAATACTACTGTATATATTCCATTAATTCTGGTAACCATAAATACCACTACATTTTTAAAACATGAGAAGTTTTTAAAAGGTGCAAATGAAATGCAGAATTTGAAATTAACTTCTATATTTTATCATCCAAAATAATTTAACAGGAAGCTTTTAACTAAAAAACTGTATGTCAAAGAAAAAGTAATTAGCACAAGTAAAGTTTCTTAGATTGTCAGAAAGTTCCCATAAGCAATTTTTCAGTGATGGAGAATATCAGTAACAGTGCTCAGGTCTTTACTTTTCAATAAAGGAAGTAACTGCAACTTTTCACTGCATAAGATGGTGGCGTTACCCAGAGAAGGCCAAGTGAAGCCAATAAAAACATAGTTTGAGAAGTCAATTTTGTAACAAAACACAATAAACTCTGAAAAGTCAAGGGAAGGTTTCATTTAGGGTTTTACTATTTTGAATAAAAAAATGTACTTTCATCTCTCCATTTTTCTGTTAAGTGAAAAATTACTAGATCAGGACTAGATTTATAAATTGTTTATTTTATTTTTCACTGCATACCCTTTAAAAAAATCTATGACTGTATTCATTGAAAGATGCTAGGCCAGGCTCGGTGGCTCAGCCTGTAATCCTAGTACTTTGGGAGGCTGAGGTGAGTGGACTGCCTGAGCCTGTCTGTGGGTTCGAGACTAGCCTGAGCAACTTGGTGACACCTCGTCTCTACAATAAAATCAAAAATTAGCCAGGCGCAGTAGCATGCACCTGTAATTCCGGTTCCTTGAAAGGCTGAGGTGGAAAGATCGCCTGAGCCCAGCAGGTCGACGCTGGGGTGGCCGTGAGTGTGCCACTGCACCCCAGCCTGGGCGACAGAGTGAGATTCCAACTCCAAAAAAAAAGAAAGAGCTAGGGCACTATCACATTGTTTGGTAACTGACACATAATTGCAAAAAAAATCACTTACCATGTCTTTCCTATAAGAACTGTACCTCAGGGTTGTTGATGAAATAGTTATCCCAGGCAACAAATGAAGAAAGAATGCTAAAATATTGCCAGTTTGCAATACCTAATGAAATAAAGCATCTAAGCAATGCTCATCAGTGGATATGAAGATGAGTGGAAGATCCAGACATATTAAATGCTTCATAATGAAAGTATACAACCCTTCCTAAAAAGTGTTCTTACTAACCAACCAACAAACCTGAATATGACCCCAAAATGTAAGAAAAAAGACAACACACAGATGCAATCAGTAAAATCCAGACTACAGAAATCAATCAACTGCAACGCATAGCCTATATTTGGATCCTAGTTCAAAAAACTGTCACCAAAATTATGAGACTCGAAAATTTAAAGACTGCCTGGATTTCTGATGACATATTAACTATGTCTATATGATTTTATATACATGATTACATATATTATAAAACTATATATTTTCTTAAGTGTGACAACTGGAGTATTCATAAGCAAAATGATTTTTTTGCTTCAAAAAAATTCTAAGGTGGGGACAAAGTGTAAGGGTACAAATGGATCCATTTATATTATTCTCTGCACAAATTATCTTGAAATTTTCAAAAAAATTTAAAAAATAAAATGCAAATACAAAAAAGTAAGTCTATAAATGTCACTTATCTGTAATGCAGATAGAGTCCTCTTAATCGGGAACAAAGACAAAACTGTACTGCTAACAACAAGCTTTAGACCTTATATATATTCTAATGACAGTGAAAGCATACCTTCACAATATATGGCAAGGAATGTTTATAAAATGTGTAAAGGATAATCATAAGTCAAACCAATCTTTAAGTATGATAAGTATCCATTTGAAAGAATTATTTTAAATTTTTGTCAATGAAATAAGATGTCAAATCCTACAGGAAACAGTATTAATTATTTTGCTGTATTTAATAAAGAACAATCTGAATAGCTGACAGAATTCAGATAATTGGAAGAAAATCTCATGTGCTTCATAATAATTTTGCATTCAAGGGTCCATGATCATCATAATAGCTAAAAATAATTTCAAAACTTTTTAATCAAAGTCTACCACACCAAGTAGTGCTATTGACTTGTTTAGCACAGATTTTTATTATAATGAATGATGTATAGTATTTAAATCAAGAAAAGACTATTGATCCCAAAGACCCACACTTCTTTACCTTCCCACTCCCCACCTCACTGGCAATGGACAAAGCTTAGGCTAATAAAATGCCTTTATAATGCATAGGAAATTCCTTTAAGTACCCCTTATTGAGAATGTCTTGCTCAACAACATTCTCAGTGAAGTTTTTTGAAGTTGAAGTAATCACTTTGAAGTAAATCACCCTTTCAATTTTGGATTGAAAGGGGAGGGGAATAGCTTTTAGGCTTTTCTTTCCTTAATGTGACTATTTCCACAGATGGCTCCCAATGAAAATTAATGAACTAACTTAG